TGAATCAAAGCCATTATATCTGTGGATGATTACGTGAGAGTTAGCTCGAGATCACGAGAGAGAGAGGTTACTGTCAGCCAATACACAGATTTAGGTCTTGGAGAGGTGCGCAGCTGAGGTGGTGGTTGTTGTTCTTAGAGAGAGTCTTGTGAAGACGTGTGAATGCGATACTTAGCATATAGCGCCACTCCCAAACTAGGGAGTGAAGATGACCACTACGCATTAGTGTATCTCAAAGCTAATGGTGTGAGGTTATATGTGGTGAGTGAAGAGTCTATCAAATATATATATATCACACGCGCTCATGGAACGTCTAGATGTCTGTATCCGACGCTGGTCACGCGACAACATGAGGAGAGCAATTGAAGCTTGGATTTAACAGGAATGACTTGTTACCAATTAGGAGAATGGTGGTAAGATTTGGGTTGATGTGGTTGCCAGGTTGAACCAAGAGGTGGTCGGTGTGCAAGGTGAGGTACCAGGAATTCAGGTGAAGGAGTGCTGCTGCGTGACAAGGGTAGTCTTTGATGTTTTTATCTTTTTTGTAACTTTTTAAAACTCTGGAATTTTATACATCCTTCTGGCTTAATAAGACAGTTTACGTATCTTCGATACACCACCCCCCCCCCCGCTCCCCCTCCTTTTTCTTTGTTCTTTTTTTTCTTCGTATTAGTGAGCATATATATACATATACATAAATTCTGTATTTGCGTATATGTATATATATATATTCATTTTTATTAGCTTTTTCCATATATTTCTTTTTCATGCTCTTACATCCGTCTTCCTATTCCATTCGTCGAATTCCATATTCCTTTAACGTTTTTTAGTTCTATCATCGCTTTTCTATCTCACTTGATAACGGGCTATGCTCGAAACGTCGTTATTAATTTTAAAAAAAAATTTCCTGGTACAATTTACTTACATTGATCATTATTGTTAAGGTAAACAAAAAGGTCCTAGAAATGATTGATTCAACCAGCTGCGGTTCAAAGTTCGTTCGTGTCAAAAATTCTTATCGTAAACGGTTGCAATCCTGTGAAAAAAAACCAATGACTCGAAACGAGTACAATCTTTTTTTTATAAGAACAATTTTATAAGAACACGAGTCTGAAATTAATACACGGGAGGGCCCGTTTATTAGAGACACTAGAGTAAGAAACAATGAGTATTGAAATTTCCAGAACATTAAAAAACTGGAGTACTCAACATCGACCTTTGTTTCTTATAAAAAAATGAGTGAAGTTTAGTTTACGGAAAAACGAAGCTACTCAAGGGCCGTACAGTCATTACGTATGGGGTTGAAGGTTGGATGTTTTTGCGTGAGGTTCCGCGAATTATCAGTTGGCTGTTCTTTTGACTTAATTTTATACAATGGCGTCACTTTAACATAGTCGCGTTTTGTTATGCAATATGCGAAATATGCATTTTGGTGACCCGGATACTTGCACGTGCAATTCCGTTAATTCATTAGTCTATAAAACTAGATTTGTTTTCTATGGGACCAAAACAAATATTTGACAAAACGAGTGTACTTCTCAGCAACCAGGGTCGTAACCTCTATGTTTTCTTTGAGGGTGAAGGAAATTTTCTGCAGGAAAGAACAATTATACTAATCCTAGTTTAATTTGATTATAAACATATTTCTGATTATAAACAGAAACACACATCATCTTTCATGAAGCAAAATGGGAGCACGGCAGGCATTTGCGTTGCCAGCCAGTCGTTAAGGCCTTTTTCTAAAGCGCTGTATCATGTGCGTGATTTTAGAACTTAACCTGGGGAACTTTTCAGATTGGATGCAGCAAAACCATCTCAGCCTAAATGCTAACAAAACAAAATTCCTGCTTATCGGTCACAAAAGCTACTTAGTTCTTATAACGAGCCTGTGCAGTTACAAGTAAAAGAGTAGCCAATAAACAGGGAACATAAAGTGCCTACAGGTAACTGTTGACGAAAACCTGACCTGAAGCGAACAGAACAAAACTATTAAACGTAAGGTTAAAGGGGTTATCTTCGATTCGTAAACTGAAAAAGAATTCACCCCCAAATAGCCCAAGTCTACAGAGGCCTGGTCGAGGACCGTGCACGGTACTGTAATTAATTACGGAGTTGCCTGCCTGAGACCATAATAAACCATCTACACCGGCTTCAGGACAGCAGGACCCACAACGATGGGGGAAGGGGCCAAGGGGAGGGGGCCAGGGGGAGCCATGCCCCCCACTTTCCAGCCTGCGTCGGAGCCCATGGACAGGGCTCGCACACTGATTGAATATTAGTGGCTCGCACACTAATCTCAAAAGGTACGATCAGGCTGTAATGACTGATAAAATGGTGCATGACATATTTCCCAACCGCTTTCAGAGAAAATTTATCACGAGGTCTCAAATTGATATAGAATCCGGCATGATTTGATATCTTAAAACAAGGTCCTAAAAAATTTCTTTCTCAGTTCCGGTGCGAAACTGTGGAATACGATGCCTTTATACACAAGTAATAGCCTGACAGTTTCTCTATACCCTCTATTTTTCAAGAACTACTTGATAAGAAAACGAGCCTCAAAGTTGGTAAAAAGTTTAGAACAAATTAAGAACAAGCATGTGAAGAAAGTTGTGAACCCCCTTTGAAACTTTCATCTCAAAATGAGAGGTTTTTTGCCATCTAGGGGTGCTTTGTCGGGAATAATAAAATTTTTCGGTACATAAAGGATGTCTTAGTCTCTTTTTATTGGCAGCTAAATTTTAGAATTCTCTTCCTCTTGAATTGCGTAATACAAAAAATAATCAAACGTTTAATAAGCACCTAAAAATATATCTCAAAAAAATTTATAGGCCTTCAAATTGCATTTTATGTTGAATTGCATTCCTCTTTTATTCTCTATTTCATTTTTTTATTTCCTTTTTTAACTTTATTTTATTTTCCTTTTACTTTCTTTAAGTTGTTTCCTTGAATCTGTTTCTTTAAATATGTACAATATAACTTTCAGAATCACAAAAGGGCACGTAGCTCGAAAGCTCCTCTGAGTTATTTCTACGTGTCCTGCGGTATCTCATTTTTTTCTTACTGACAATTTCATGTAAAATATGCTTTGTAATCTTTTAATCGTTTATGTTAGTATTATCGTATCACTTGTAATTATTTAGGTACCAGTTGTAGTGTAATCGCACGAATCCGATATGCTCCACTTCGAAACAAAGGATTTCTTATTGTTTTCTGCTTGAAGCAATACAGCTTTTCGATATCCGCGCGCTTAGTTTGCATAAAGAAATTGGGGCGAGATATTGGGTGAAAAATTTGTCACAGGCCTATGTTTACATATAGATACGGCATTAACTGGCGACTAAATATTGTCCGAATTGGCATCAAAAGTATTCCAAATCTTGTGGATTTGATTCCTAAACATTCTTTGTAGTCTTTTATCTCGAAAGGAGGTTTTTAAAAAGCTTAAATTGTCCAAAGGCTCGTGACAATTTTTTCACCCAAATTCTCGCCCCAGTTATTTCGAGCAAATTAAGCACGCAGGTATCGAAAAGGTGTATTCGATCTTTGGTTAACAATGGCGATTTCCTAGATTTTGTTGCTGTTGGATAATGCCAAACCGAAATCATCCAAACAATTGCGTATTCGAATTTCATCCCTTCCCAAATTTTATTGAAGTGGTCCTTGGACGAAAAACATACTTTAACACATCAGATAGCAACACAATCTCGCTATCCGTCCTACGAACCCTATCATTTATCTCTCAGTTTTATGTTTGTTTTCGTCATTTTATGCATAGCTATTGAAAACGAATTCGCAACAGCACATAGATTCGAAAATATCATCAAAAAATTTAATCTGGTGGATTTTGTGTATCAGAAATACAAAGGAATGCAGGCTTATGAGCGAGCGGAGCGTCGTAGTGTAACTGCTACCCTAAATATCACTCCGAAGTAAAAGTTACTCCGCTCCGCTCCGATAGCAATCCGGTATAGTGTAACTCTAGCCTTAAAGTATACTGGATAATAAAATGTTGAAGTTACTGCTTACACCCTAATAAATTAAACAATCCACGCTGAATGCAGTGGCGGCGCCAGCTACTGCCCAGTGGGAGGGTAATGGGCGTAGCCAGTGAGACCACGCCCTAATCGCCTCGTTTCAGTGCATTGTACCAGGTCAAATTTCCTTAGGAAATATGATCTACCCCTACCTAGTGCTTTTTAACCCATTTTTAAACGAAATATGTAGACCATGTTTCGAAAATAGTGAGGGGGTAATTACACCACCCCCCATACCACCCCCTGGCGCCGCCACTGGCTGAATGTTTTGGGGAAATAATAAGAACAGCCAGCTTCAACTTCAATATACTCATCCTATATACCTTGAATGGTGATGAAAACATGACACTCAACAGGATTAACGAAATATTGAAAGTCACGAGGGGTAAAATAGCCAACAGCGATGAAATTTTTGGCCAATGAAGGTAGCTGATCTGCTTTTGTTTATTGTGTCGACTCGTAACGCATTTTTGTCCCCCGGAGACTTTTGCGGTGGGGAGTTAACTGGCCCGAGATATATTACAACCACAGAATTAGGAAATGCTTGCTCATTGCCGAGAATGCTTATTCAAGGAGAATTATCATGAAAATTACCAAGGATGCCTTTACTCACAGATTGCAGGTATCCAATTGCTGTTTGCCCCACAAAACTTTGCAAGGGACGATCACATCGATTGGTTAGGTGTCATCTGCACTCGTTTCTTTTAATAAGAATACTTTAACTTTTTCCAGCCACGATATTCTTAAAGTTAAGAAATTTTCGTTTTGAGACTGGATATACAGTGTTCTTATTTCTTCAAAACTAAAATTGTTTTTGGCTGTAAAGGGGCCGCAGAGAGTTGCCTTTCTCCCCATTCTTTATTCTCTGCCACAGCAACAACACATATCACAAATGTATGATCAACTTTTAACTCCCGTAATGCGATTACCCCTTCCGATGTAAAAATCAAAAGATAACAATACCTGGGTGACAATGGAGTAACTTTTCAGCTCGGTGAACTCCCAGTCAGCTCGGGACATGTTACAACGTTTGCCGAAGTCTGGGCTGTCCGACGAAATGGATCCATTTAGAGCACAATTCGTACTGTTCTGCATGCATCGCCACGAAGGACTGTGCTGAGAAAAATATGGCAGGAAAAGCAACATAATACCGGGTGCCTGCATGAAGCACAGAACAATATCAAAAAGTATCTGAAACTTCCCGAATTCGCCGATTAATGGTAAAATATCGTCGAGCTTCAGCGATGCTTTGGGCTTGCAATCCATGATGATTCAAAAAAAGATCAGCGTAATTTTTCTGTGACCTCTTTTGAGGGAATGCACAAAGTATAAATGAAGCTCAACGAGGTGAATAGAATTCCTTACCTGCTTCCGGTGAATGGAAAGTCTACAGAAATAGAAACGAGCGTTGATACCGGGTCCGGGTTTGCAGCAGGGGCGGATTCAGGGTGTCGCACAGATCGCACGGAAGACCGTCAGATTTTCAGAATTTAGTTTTAGTCTTCAGTCGTTGAAATAACGTAATCGCGTTTATCACAATCTTTTATTTCCCTTCCTTACAAATAATACATTTACCTTTCTGTGACAGAGTCACTGAGTGCCACGAAGACACGTAGTGCAAACTTACATAATCTTTAGAACTAACTTTAAAAACATTGCGTATGCGGTTATTTTGTTTATAATTTGCTTCGTTTATCTCCCGCTGACATTGCTTTGTAATTAAAATTCATGTTATGATTAGTATGCATAGAAATTCAGGCACCGCGGAGCATTGAGAAGAGTGGGGGTTCTAAAAAAGTGGGGGGGGCTAAAACCGTATAAAAAGAGGCTTTTCTGGTAGTTTGATACTTAATATTTGGCATTTTTTGTAAAAAGTGGGGGGGGGGCTAAAGCCCCAACTAACAAATCTCCAAAATTCGAGCTTTCACATATTTGTGCGGCACGAAAAGTCTGTAAACACTATGTTAGATTACTGTGCCGCACAACTGCTGGCAAGGGAAGAAGGTGATGAGGTTGAAAGTTGTGAAGGAGAAGGATCCCAATTTTCTTTATCCATGCGGAAGAGGTGCACAGGAAGTGTACATATCTGAATCTCAAGATATTTTGTTTCAATTGCATGTTTCGATTTGCTGGAAAATTTGGAAATTCTTTCAAAAGGGAACAGGGCCGGCGAAACCGGGGGCCGGGGGGAAATAGCCCCCCACATTTCTGCAGAGCTAAATAAAAATTTTAGGCAAAAGTGGAAATAAATGTAGTATATGATACTGTAAGTAACTTTGCTTAGTATTCTCTTGAATGTGTCCTTAGCTTTACCTTGGTTGCTATGTCTTTACCATAGAAGACTATAGGAATTAGATAGCTTTGAATATAGGAATTAGATCGAAAAAATCGGTCATTGTCTAAGCTTTACAACGAGTGACAGCTTGGCTTAGCAAATAGGTCGAGAAATCTAGTCCAAAATAACTTGGTCCCAGCACAAATTGACGGAGTTTCGTTTTTTCCATTGCCTAAAAATGGCACACAGGGTCTATTTGTTAACGAAAACTTTCTCAGAAACATTACATAAAGAGAAAAATCAGCTGTTGAAGGAAAAGAAACAGCTGGAAAAAACTTTGTTGAGGGTTATCACCATCGCTACGGTTGACGGCCATAGAGTCCAAAGGTCAGTTTGCTACCCAGACTTAATGGCGGACGTTAACCGAGAATAGTTTATTATAAATTCTATTTAAACTCATTTTGGCAAGCCCAGTTTTAAGGTTTTTCAAATTTTTGTTAAAGCACTTCATTTCCGAAAAAGTTAAGATCAGATGTTACAAAGTTATATCTTAACTGTACAAAATTGCTTAACTTTTTATTTTTAGTTGATAGTTCTTCTGTTGATATTTCAACGTTAATGTTTTTATTAATCCGTGTTTCATTTATTTTTCTCCCCCATCTTATTTCGGCTACTTTTAAAATCTAAGAAAAGGTTTCATTACGAGCTATATGATAGTGGTTATTCTAAAACTTTGCAAATTTTTTTATATTTCAAGTATGCGACACCTTCAGTCAAAATTCAATTTAGATAAAGTTTTCTAAAATTTTTCTTGCCGCCAACCTGTGGCGGCCTTTCCTAAGCCCTTTAAGACTTTGATGTTTTGGCCCCTCCACTTTCAAATTCGTTGATGAGGCAATTTCTGCTCCCAAAGATAAGGGCGTCCATTAGGCGTTCCATCAATCAAAGTGTATCAGTCGTGCCTAGCGGGACATATCGCAGTTAGGTTAAAATTAAAGCCCAAAAAGAAAATTTTAGTCCAAAGAATTTATATTTTCAGTTTCCCCACTGGGGCTTATCAAAGCACAAAAATTTGCATGTTTTGATGACGCCTTATTCGAGGAGGGGGGGGGGTATCAAAACATTTTTCTTCCAGGGTTTCGGTTTATTTGAGTGGGGCTTGTACAAAGGTGCAGGCACCGCGCAGCCATTGGGTTTTTTTTAAATCTTTATACACGAATTCCCTATCAGCTATAGTATAATAACTACTTCTACTACAAATTAATTCTTAAATATATATACACGTTTTTTTATAGGAAACCAGTTTATAAGAAACCTAGTACTAGAGCCCCAAAAATTTAAGAAACTTTTAGGACTAAATCAATATTTTTAAGAAACTCCAAAAAAATAAGATGACTTTCTAAGCCAAAAAAATTAGATGCTTGATTTGAATTTGCTTCTAGAGTAACACAGGATGTTGAGTCTATTTATAGCAGTAGGTGGGTTTCCGATAACTTTGTCATGAATAACAAAACTGTTTCCAGTAACAGTTTTTCAGTCGATGTTCAGCAAGTAGTCCTCGTGTTTCTCGTGAAGTTTACTTTATAGCGAAAAGAAAAAAGCAAGCAACGTTGTTCAATTTCGGGTATTCAAGACGAGCAATTCACCGAGGCGAGTCCTATGATTTAGCTGCCCCGTTACATGGTCCTTCGTTCGTTGAAGATGACAATGTCAGTTTGTATCAATGTGAACCATGTGGCAAGCGTTTCAAGTCTAAAGCTGGATTGAAAATGCATGAAACTTGGTGTACGGTGGGGAAAAAAGTGGTAAGCTCTGAGCCAAAAACAAGGATTCCAGCACAAGATAGTAAAGATGTAATAGAGGTGGAAAGTATTAAGGGTCAAGTCTCAAAACAGTTCGGGATTTGGTGTATAAATGCATATCAGCGACAGAGATAGAAATTGAGAAGAATAATCAAGAAAACGACGAAAGGAAAAGAAGGATGGTCGTGAAGGAGCAGAAAAAAGGCGCTCATATACCATCCAGTTTAAGTCAATGGTAGCTAACAAAGCAAAGCACACTCCAATAAGTGATGTTGCGTTAAAATATGGCATTAATAAATCAATGGTAACAAAAATGAAAAAACGATGAAAAAAGATTGTAGATTCAGGGGCGGATCCAGACAAAAATTTGACATTCTCAAAACCCAATATGACCGACCGACCACGCCCATTTCCTGGAAACGCCCAAGAAATTGTTTTCTGTCTTTTATTGATGCAATGATTCAAATTATTGTAATTTTAAGAGGAGAAATAGAAACAAACAATAAAAAGTGGCGGACACCCAGAGGGGACGGAGGGTGGCAGTTTTCCCCCAACATTTTGGGAAGACAGAGGTCTTTTATTTTAAAAAGAATGGACAAATATGATGTCACCTTGTCAAAACAATAGGCTTGCCTCCTCATAATATTGCCCAAAAAACAACAATGATGCAACAATTTCTCAATAAGCATAGCAACACTAGTAATTGAAAATTGGGTAATGCAGGAAAAAATAACACAAAGATCAAGACAAAATGTGTGTGGCAAATGGTGCTTGGTTTTCTAATGGTTTAACATGTGGCATTTTATAGAAAGAAGTGTAGTTTTGTGGACATCCCAATTATTGATAAAAATTTAAGGGCACAAGACTCATCATAGAAGAGAATTATTAACGAAAGTTGACCAATGAGATTACTAAAAATGCAGGCACTTTTCAGAGTAAACAAGCCATAGAAACTTGGACAAAGAATTGGGTAAAAACCTTTTCTTGTAACAAAAATAGACTGCCAAGGCTAGTCAACTTCTTTCTGGATGCTAACTCTCTTAAATACATAATATTTTTTGGCATATGATAATTGCACTGATTTAGAGTAAAATATTTCTGCATCAAAGTCAAAGTCTGTATGTCTGTTTTAGATTTGTTGTTCATCATTTGGAAATACATGGAAGAAGAATTACTTTGGGATGACTGTCTATTCAGTAGATCCATCAAATTTAAATTTGAATCTTCTGAGGCCTGACATTTTATACTGAACTTCCCTTTGCTTAGCTTTCAGAGGCACTTTCTTTTGCCAAAGAAAATGAATAGAATTTTTTGGCTTCATAATCTTTCCTTCCACAGGAATGTTAACCAAAGTTAGCTTCTTATCCAACCCATATTTCCCACGAAACTTAGTTTGGATAATAGGCTCGATAAAATAAGCAAATGAATGCATTTCTCAACTTATTTTTTGTTGAAAGACTACTCCATTACTCCAACTCCTGTCATACTACATTACATCATACCAATTACTGCATTTTGATATGCATTAAAAACAGATTCTATCTGCCTTTACTGTGTGTACTAACTTAATGTACAACATACTTTATTGGACAGCATTTTCAGCTCCTAGTACCACCTTGTTCAAATGAATATTTCTCAAGATTTTGACTTCTGGTGTTGCATTCTCAATAAACCTTGTTCGTCATTGGCTTAGTATCAATAAAACAAAAAAGGAGATGAATCTCCAAAACAAAAGTGCAGTGTATGACAATAGGCCCATGTAGCTCATATGATTAACGACCTACAATTTTTAAAGATGCAACATGTCAAATGTGTGTCAAAATAGAACAAAATAGATCAAGAATCCACACTCCACGCAAGTTGCAATGGGTTCTTGTGAAATTATTCTCTAATCAAGCACAAAACACATATCATTACCAAGCACTGTCACTGCCACTGCCTTTGTAGTCTGGAGTGGAGTGTGGATTCTTGATCACGTGAAGTTGGTGTTCCCTGTCAAATTTCGCTACTTTGTGGACCAGCCCACTAACTTCTCAAGATTCTCAAACTGTGACGTAGGCAAGACCTCATAAAATATATGATAAACATATGCCAGATATACCCTATTAAAAGTGAATGGGTTTAATACGTCATTTTGGCGAATTTTCCTCTCGTTAAAATCTTTCAGGTCGACCTATTCTAAGGGACAAAAATGAATTGAAATTCTCTGCGTGTGCATGCAGAAACTGCGTGCAACTTTCTAAAACTGCGAAGGAACTTCTCAAAATGCATTGCAACAGTCGATAAACATTCTCAAAATCATGCCTAGATACAGGACGCGGCGCAGCCTCTTACTACTCTCCTGGGTACTAGGTTCAATGAAGGAGAATTTGGTTTTTCATCGGAGAAGATCTAAAAATGTTTCGCAAAGGCAAAACGGGGTAAAATATTGCAAATACGGCGATGGTGTAGAAATAAATACCTTAAATACATAATAAAAAGATGTATGCTTATCTTGAATTTTAAACTTGAGCTCATTCATTACTTTTAGCATTTTAATTAGAATAATCAAACTGGGAAAATCTGACATTCTCAATTGAGAATGTTGAGAATGTCTCGATGCGCCCCTGTTGTAGATGCTGCTGTCGTTGCCCACAAAAAACTTGTAACGAAAATACGGACAAGCACAA